TTTTATTAATCCAGCAGGTTGGTCACCATGGCTAAATTCTAACTTTGCTCAGGATACATTGTACTATGGAGAGTATAAAAATTTTGGGCCTGGCTCTTCAACAAAAAGGAGGGTTGCTTGGAAAGGATTTCATGTTATAACTAGCCCTTTTGTGGCCTCACGTTTCACTGTTAGAAGCCTCATTGCTGGCCAGTCATGGTTGCCAGCCACCAGTGTCCCATTTACTTCTGACCTTTGATCACTTATGCTGTGGTATTTGCCACTATATTTCTTTTCTAAATTAATTGGATTTTTTTGTACATTTTAACACACTGAATCTATAATTTAATTTATATATATTATCTACTTGTAACTTGATTGGAGCAAGCCAAAGTTTATTATTATTATTTTGGTGAATTTGTCTTCAATTAATATATTCGTTATCTTTTTCTATGTTATTGATACATTATAGATATATTTTGAACCTCCTCCGTATAATAATTTTTCATAGATCATGGCCTCTCCAACTCCAGCACAAAATACATTCCTCATAAAAATGCATATTTCTTTATAAGTTTTTAATTCTGATAATTTTAATTTTTTTAATGATTATATAACGAAGAAGGCTATACAATTAGCCCATTAAACCTCCTATGAATGATAATAAAAAAAGAATAAGAAGGCCTTATTGTATAGTTTTCCCATCATACAAGATCATTATTGAGCTCGAGAGTATGAAGGAAGGGCCTTACTAAAACAAGGCCTGTAACCTAAGAAACAATTTTAGGCCTACCTAGCTCAGTTTAGCCTATATTCATTCCCTAATGGCTAATAGAACTACAGAAGCAGTCAAGATCCTTAAGCTGCGGATAACATGACTATACCAGCTAATTGTGCTATTTTCAACATTTTTTTTTCAAATTCAATGATATAGCTGCTGTTTTCATGCTCTATTTTTTTATGACTTTTGCGACAGTGATAGAGATATAAGGTCAAAGGTTTTTGTGTATAAAAATATTTTAGTTCACAAGTAGGAATTGAATTTCGTTATCATAACTAATTTTATTTTATAATATTGTCTATCGACTCTCCATCATGGAGCTGGCATCAGAACTTCACAGAACTAGTAATGCTTACTTACATGTTGCATATACATGAAACCCTATTCTTTCCTTATTCTTTATTTTTAAGTAGCCTCAGGATTATTTATCCCAAAAAGGAGAAATGATCAATTAATCCGTATATTTCGATGTATAACCTTGAATAATAGCAATAATGTCCATGCTATATGCACGTTGTTGGGATCCCTCACAATAAAAACAGGAAGATCCCATGTTCGGATTGAATCTTTATAATTTTTTTCTAGAGATTTATAGAAGTTTCAGGATATTTGCTTGCAATTAAAAGCTAATATAATTGTATAGTTTAAATAACGACCGTTATATTATATGATGATTGTTATGTAATGATTTTAGATCATTTTATTATTATTATTTTAGTATTATAGTAAGACACTATCCACGATAACAACGATAAATATTTTTTCAATCGTCCGTAATTTAAAATTATGAATGTGAAAGTTATGTATTTAAAATTGTATAGAAATAATATTTAATTTTAACTAATATACAAATCGATTCAAAAATATTTTTTTATTATCAAATCAAAACAATGATTAAAAAAAATGTTATTTTTTATTCTTTTTAATGTACAGAATTAGATGTATGGGCTAACCGAAAATGCGAATTTGATTAGACACAAACAAATTAACCCATTAATGCAAATTTTAAATTAGTTTCTAGTAAAAAAAAGGGAGAGAAGTTCAAAATGGTTGTCACCATTGAAACAATCAAAATCTATGTGTATGCGCCTTTGATTTATCTTTCTGACGCGTTTGTTGCAGGCTTGCAGCCACCTGTCGAAGCAGTACGTAGTTACAAGTCAACAATATAGAAAAGTCAAACATATCACCCTTCAAGAGGATGATATTGGCACGTTATGTTTTTTTTTTTTTTTTTTTTTTACACCATGATTCGTTAAGGCACCAAACTTCCATGTTACAGGGTCAAATTGTGTCCTTCGAGGAATAACAATAGTTCAATTAGGATGGCCATATTATATAAGAATTGCAACTTTCAATATTTTTCGTCGATCTTTTGCTTTTTTGGTTCAAAAGGAAAGTAAAACAATAATAGAAGGCGGCAAGCCACAATAATAGAATGGTAAAAGATGCATTTACGAATAATTTTCGGCAAAGTTTGCCATGTGCTTAAATTGTATTTTGAAAATTTTTGTGATTTTAATTGAAGTTTTAGATTTCTATAATCAATTAATTTGATAGAAAAGTTAATTAAACTCTATATCAAACTTAATTAATTATCATAACGAGTTCATAGCTCAATTGATACAAGTGATTTTTTTTTTTTCCAAGAAGGTATCGAGTCAGAACTTCTTCTTATATACATAAATAAAAATAAAATTGTGAATCGAGTATATTTTACTCTTTGATTACATACATCACTAAGAAAGAACACAGGAAAATAATGGGGAAAACAAAAAGGACAACTAATGAGGAAGCATTGTACTCTAGAATTAACACAAAGTGAAAAGATAAAACTCTTGAACAACAAAGGAAAACGTGTTCTCCTGTGGACTTAATCGCATGGAAATTAATTAAATCCATGCAAGTGGGATCCAATTCATCGTTCTCCATGCAGAAAAAGTCTCTCTAGCTTTTACCATGGCATATAAAGCTGGATTTCACTGTATATATCCTTACTAATTTGTGAGAGAGGATAACATTCTTTATGAGACAAAGAGTAGAGAATCTATGTTTTTTTATATATTAGCTTATTTATCATTTGATTGGTCTTCAACAATGTACAAAGCTAGCCAACAGCTAGCTGTCATCAGGCTCACCGTAACCAAAAAAAGTCCACCTTTCTTCCCCTATATAAAGAACAACTCCACAGCCTTGATCATTACAAACTCGATAAATCTTCAAATTCCAACAATTATTAGCCCTCCCAAAAATGGCCACAAAGCTTTGTTTATCTCTTTTGTTCATATGCTTTTGCTCATTACTTTCGTCATCTATTGCCTCTAATGATCAGATAGATTATTGGTGCAATAAAACCCCAAACCCTGAACCATGCAAATACTTCATGAACCAACACCCAAAACACTTTTTACCTAAGCAAAAATCTGACTTTCGTAAGATGGCAATCGAGTTAGCCATGCAACGTGCTCTCAATGCTCAAACTCACAACAAATGGCTAGGGTCAAAATGCCGCAATGAGAAAGAAAAGGCTGCATGGTCTGACTGCTTAAAGCTCTATGCAGACACCATTGCTGAACTCAACCACACCCTTGACTCCAACACAAAATGCACCGAGTTTGATGCTCAAACTTGGCTTAGCACTGCTTTAACCAATCTTGAAACTTGCAAAGCCGGGTTCAAGGATTTTGGGGTTTCAGATTTCGTTTTACCTCTCATGTCTAACAATGTTTCAAAGCTAATTCGCAACTCCTTGGCTTTGAAGGACAATGCCTCATCAACTTTACCTGATCAAACTTACAATGATGGTTTTCCTAGTTGGGTTAAAGGAGGTGATAGAAAGCTCTTGCAAGCGTCTTCACCGTCTCCAAATCTTGTGGTGGCTCAAGATGGTTCAGGGCATCACCGTACCATAAAGGCAGCACTTGATGCTGCGGCGAAGCGAAGGGGAAGTGGGAGGTTTGTTATTCGTATTAAGAGTGGGGTTTATAGAGAAAATCTTGATATTGGCAAGAATTTAAAGAATATTATGCTTGTTGGTGATGGTTTGAGAAATACCATCATCACCGGGAGCCGAAGTGTTGGAGGAGGTTCTACTACTTTCAACTCTGCAACTGTTGGTAAGTTTTATATATGCACCCTCTCCCTTTATAAATTCCTGAAAGAGATCAAAATTATCATCTTTCTAGCTAAAAGGGAAAGAAAAAAAAAAAAAAAAAAAGACAGAAGTGTGCCAAATTGACAAGTTTTCCATTGTTCTTTTCTAATTTGTCAGAAGAAAATGTCTATACATGTTTTAGTCCACACTCCTTGATTAGTTACGTTATATACTAAGGAACTTTCAATTTTCAAGCATAAGACTTTTGGATAAACATTAATTAATTAAAAAAATTCAGACTTAGTCTACAAATGTACATCATATTGAACAAGTAATATATATTCTAGAACCATTAATTTTAGTATGTCATGTGTCAAATCCAGAAGTAATATTCCTAACAATTTTCATGAATTTTCAGCCGTGACTGGGGAAGGATTCATTGCTCGTGGCATCACATTCCGCAACACTGCTGGCCCACAAAACCACCAGGCTGTGGCCCTCCGATCAGGCTCCGATCTCTCGGTGTTCTACCGCTGTGGCTTCGAAGGTTACCAAGACACCCTGTACGTCCACTCTCAAAGGCAATTCTATAAGGAATGCTACATCTATGGCACAGTAGACTTCATTTTTGGAAATGCAGCTGTGGTCTTGCAAAACTGCATGATATATGCAAGAAGGCCTATGGATAAGCAAAAGATCGCAGTAACAGCACAAGGCAGGACTGACCCTAATCAAAATACTGGGATTTCAATCCACAATTCACGAGTCATGGCAGCATCAGACCTTATTCCAGTGCTTAGCTCATTCAAAACTTTCCTTGGAAGGCCATGGAAGGAGTACTCTCGCACAGTTTTTCTTCAAACTTATCTTGATTCTTTAGTGGATCCAGCAGGTTGGTTGGAGTGGGATGGTAACTTTGCTCTGAACACTTTGTATTATGGAGAGTACAGAAATTCTGGTCCTGGAGCTTCCACTAGTAGAAGAGTTCGGTGGCGTGGTTACCGGGTTATAACAAGCGCAACAGAAGCATCAAAATTCACAGTCGCAAACTTCATAGCCGGGAGGTCATGGTTGCCAGCTACTGGTGTCCCATTTTCCTCTGGACTTTGATCATATTAACAGTTCCCTTCAGTAGCATTGATTATTTCAATCTGTTTGTTCTTTCATTGTTGCAACATTTTCATAATTCGTGGCTTCCCTTGCTGTGTTCACAACTTGTTTTGAAGACATGTATCAAATAATAAATTGAGCAATTCAATAATAGAGAAAGTTGTTCTCTTCATTCCATTGTTTGTAACTTCTCATGAACCAATTATTTTCCATGAAAGTAGTACTATAAAATACAATGTCACTTAGCTAGGTCCTTCTGCTGTTATGAGGATCGAGAGATATGTTAGAATAAACTAAGTTCATGTATAGAGGTTTTTATTCTAGCTAGGCCTCTATGAGTCACCTACGAGAAATCATTATACCAATATGATTTATATGGACCAAACATATCATATTATACAGATCTGTTATAACTTGATAAGATAATTATACTAGAATACCAATTAATCACACAATTTTAATTGACGTAAATCCATACCGTCAAGGAAACCAAGTTTAGCAGTAAAAAAGGTTTGGTAAAATTCAAATTTTAATTTTCATTATCAATAAATACTTAATAAATAGTCTAATAATCGATCAAATATTAAACTTGTTTAATTTCAATTCATACCAAAACTTACTCAAAATACCGAATTACTTTTATACATGTATCATCACCTATGTATGTTTGGGTTTTAGGACTTGGACTTGTAATGAGTCTGGGCTAACTATAACGGAGAATGGGCCAAAGTTGGATTAAAGAAAGAAAGTAATTAAATAAGCTGTATGTTAACAAGTGAATTTTGAAAGATTAAAAAAGCTAATTACCCATCACTCCAGCCCATAACCTCAAACCCATACTCTTCAAATTCCGTACAAGAAAACCTTCCCGCCACCGTGTCTTGAGATCTTCTTTCGTCTCTCCTGTCTTTCTATCCTTCTCTTCTCTGGCGGAGAGATCATGGGAGAGTTAGCAGGGCCGGACCCACGTTCAAGTGTACAGGCCCTCCTCCAATTTTGACCCTGCTCTATGTTGCTACTTGAAAAATGTTACATTTACACAAAATGGTAATGGGTCAGGTTAAGTTTTTGGCCTCCCAGCGCATTGCATCTCTGTTTTGGACTAGTCTTATTATTATATAATTAGTTGATTTTGAATTTTTATTTAAACTTTTTTTTAAGATATAAAGTTTTAATAATTTTGATTTAAGATTAGTATAGTAAATTATAAAATAGTCCATTGATTTTTCAAAAATTATATATATTTTTTTATCAGTGATCATATTTAATTTTTATTATTTTATTTCAAAAAATGTTATTTTTTTCATTAACTCTTCTATATATAATAGTAATAATAATAATTTTTTAAGATATAACGATTTAATAATTTCAATTTAAGATTACTATAGTAAATTATAAAATAGTCCATATATTTTTCAAAAATTATTAAGTTTTTTGAGCGGTGATAATATTTAATTTTTATTATTTTATTTCAAGAAATGTTATTTCTTTCATTAACTCTTATATATATATATATTAAATTACAAGAAAATTTAAAATACAAGAACTAAATAATTTGTTTTTGGAACAAGAAGAACTAATTAATCCTTTTTTTAAAAAAAATAGATAGATTAATTTATAATTTACTCAAAATTACTATTACTAATATATCCGATTTGTGTCAAAGGTCGATGAAGATAAAAAAATTTGAAAGTTATCCACTTGTATATAGAGTGATAACATTTATTCTTACTCTTTCGGTTTCTATGACTATCACAAAACGATCATTTTCGAGTTATAAGTATAGTTAAGACTAAGCTTCATAATAAGATAGAAGATGATTTTTTTTCCGATTGTTTGTTAGTATATATTGAAAAAAAAAATTACTAAAAATTTTAGTACAAATTCGCTTATAGATAATTTTCATGACTTGAAAAAAATATATTTATTTTGAGTGATTGTATTTTGAGATTATTTAAAATATATATAAAGCATAATAAATTTATAAATATTTATTTTGACCTTGGTGAAAATTTGATCTTACGTCCCAGAGTTAGGATGGCTCTAACTGTTGTAGAGACTTTAGTTCTTGATAAACTGGTGGAATTGAATAACGAAGAGCTCTTGTTTTCAAAGCAATGTGAGTTTTCTTTAAAGGACAGAACGCAAAAGTTTATTAGACGAATTTTCAGAGGGTTTTCGCAGCAGTGATTCGCTGATAAATAAGTTCGAATAGAAGATCAAAAGAGGTCTTGATGAAGCCATCTTCTGAGGTCTGAGTAAGGAAGCCAGAGACTCAAAAGCTCATGATTTGGTAATTTTTCCTTTTGTATAGCTTATCTTGATTGAATGTAACTTTTTCTTTCGTTCTTTTTTATAATTTGGTTCCATGGAATCTGGCTGGCTTCTTTATTGCAATGGAATCTTTTTATGGTTCCAATTCTAGTCCTTTACAAACCAGAAGTTATGAAACTAGCTAGGGCTTGTCTGTTTGCTTGAAAGTTGAAAGTCCTTTAGCTTGTCTTTGACTTACACGGAATTAGATACATAACTTCATGGACGAGCCTGTCTAGTTGGTATCGTACGTAAACCTAAGTAATCAGAAATCCAACTCTTAGTTTAACCAAAAGCTATGTCTTAACTTTGCACCATTTCTAAAATATTCATTGCTTTGTCAAGAAGCGAGAAGAAACTGTGGAAGGAGGAAAATGAAATTTAGGACCAAATATAACACCTCTAAACAGAGAAAAAGAATATCTTCCTGTGCCTCCAGAAGCCATTGTTTGTGACAAACCCACATATAAAAGATTTTACAATCTTCTTCCTCTAACACATTTATCATACTACCTAAGAAAGGCAGATACTTGTTCTCCCCCTGAAACATGTCCTTGATCAATCGCCCTCGTGTTACAGTCAATGGAATCAGAAGAATGAGAACTTTTCATTACTTCTGGTGTCAAAATTGCCAACGTGCTTTAAGGTTCACCTCCATAAACCGGCTTGAAATCTTTTGTCCGCATTGCTCTAGAGCACTAAATCATGAGCTTGATGTAGCAAGGCCTAGGCTTATTGCTGATCTCACCGGCTTAGAGGCCTCTCCAGGTGCACGGTTGTTGGACTCGTTGGCACAAATGCTTGAGCCTCCTACAAGGCGGCCGGATGCTGAATTTGGTAGAAGAATCAGATGGGTACCTGGAAGTGCCAATAGACCTTGGATAACCCTCCAGTTTGCTGAACCTCCGACCCCACAAATACCCGCTATCGCGGCACCACAGCCTGTTGTTCCTCCTAGTAATAATGCTGATAACAGAAACGATACTGAAAATTTCGATACTGCTGAGGATGATCTGCCGCATCTGCCCGCACAAGATATGACTCCTACTGGCCTTCCAGGACCGCCTCCTGCACCAGTTTCGGCAATCGAAGCATTGCCGATGGTGAAAATCACAGAACAACATTTGATGAATGACATGCATTGCCCTGTATGTAAGGAGATGTTTGAGGTTGGTGGTGACGTGATGGAGCTACCGTGCAAACATTTGTACCATTTCGATTGCATTGTTCCTTGGCTGAACTTGCATAATACTTGTCCAGTTTGCCGGTGCGAACTGCATGACAAATCTGGTAATGATCTTCCAGAACAAAATGCTGAGTTTTTCAGCTTTGAAGAGGTGACAAACAGCTTCAATTGGCTGAGGAATCAGCTCCATTCTATACGACCAATTCGTGCATTTTCTGATTGGACACAGAGATACCTTGATTTCTTAGACGGTAGACGTGCTACTTCACGTAGAGGTCAGTTGGGAATTTCCTCCTGCTATTTCCTTCTTCTCTTTGTTTTTCTTCTTTCTTGTTTCGAAAGGCTATACGCAATATTTCAGGCTCTATACCTCTTCTAACCTAGGAACTTATGGAGGAATAGAAGTCCTTAAAAGCATGCTTTCATATTGATGTAGCAGTTATGTTAATGTTCAATTTTCACAAATATAATTCCCAACAAAAAATTAAAAAGTAAATTCAAATTGATCTAGCCCGAGCCCCCATTTGTATGGATTGATGATCATTAATCCATGTACCTCAAGCCCTCTTGCCTACTCATATTCTTTGATCAAGCTTTTAGAAATTGCTCAAAATTAATTTGGAAGATTAGAATCTAATGTTTAACTAATTAAGTGCTGTTATTTTCCTGCAGCTGGCTCTTGGTGGCGTTCTTGGCTCATTTTATAACTCTGAATTCCAACTGCTGCTAGCTTTGAATCTGTACATATTAGCCCCATAACTGAATCATTTCTTAGGCAGGTATGTCTATCTACCACTAATTTTGAAAGGCAGCAGAGGCGAAAGATATCAGCTCAACAGGTTTGCGATACATTTCTCTCTTCATCTAATTTGATGTCCTTAAAAATGCCTCAGTTTTCCTAACCTAATTTTTTGTTTGTTATTTATCAGTTGCAAAAATGACTACATCTGCTAAAAAGAATAGTTCATATGTTCTAACCTTTCTCTCTTCCTTTAAATGTTACGTTTTCATATGTTTTAAAATAAAAGAGCTATGGTTCTAGGTAAAGGAGAATCTTCATATTTGATCTAACCAGAGTGATCAAGGTTTAGAGAATGAAGAGTATTTGAGCAAAAGAAGCCTTGAGAGTTGGCTGTAAAAAACAGACATGTTGTCACTGTAATGCCATTGGTAGAAGCAACGAGGAAGCTACCTTAGGGCCAGTATTGGGCATGGCCCCCCTAGGATTTTAAATATTAATACTTGGTATATATGATGTGTGCATTGATGTAATCTCAAAGCTCTTTATTCATTTCTGATCTTCTTAGAACTTAATGGTGTGCTACTGTTTGTAATATTTGAAACGAAAGGAATTATAACAGGTTACAAGGTAAAGGTAGCAAAATCTAGGCTTCAATATCAGAGTTAGTGTTCTACATATTAGTGCAAGAGTTTTTATTTCTCTCAGTTACTTCTAGTATATAATGAAATCTTGCTTGCCTTGATAAAAATTTACTTTGAAATCTCATTGCAAGCCAAAAGAACTTGTTTTGGCTAATAAGCATGCATTTCCTTGTTCTCTTCTTTGCTCTGATAAGATAGTAAGACTCATGTGTTCATACATCCCAGCATATGAACACCTGAGGTAAAATTGATAAAATCCTCACTCAAAACCAGTAATCATTGCTCATTATAGCAAAGTTAATAGTTTTATTCTTCTTGAACATAGAAGGTGTAACTGCAAAAGTACGAAGTCAAAGCATGGAGGTAATGGTTAAAAATAAGTTACAGGCTCCATTGAAACATTTATAATTATAACAGCACTTATTAATTTGACAAAAACTGAATTCTTAATTAAAATTTACTCTTTTATTAAATTTTTTTAACATATATAGTCATTTCTTGAAGGGATCGAATAACATATATGTGATAGACAAAGTATTAGGATCTTTGTTCTTATATCTTAGCTTCCAAACTACAAACTAGCCGAAAGCTGCAAAAGAGTACTCACCATCTTAAACGTTTCAAAAAGATTAGATTCATGTTTTCTGGAGTTATTAGGCCTTCTAACATGGCTGCAAAGTTTGGTTTATCTGTTCTGTTCATAAACTTTTGCTCATTGTTTTCACCAACATTGTCATCTATCACCTCTAATGAGATAGATTCATGGTGCAACAAAACCCCACACCCTGAACCATGCAAATATTCCATGAAGCAAAACCTAAAAACCTTCGTACCTAAGCAAGAATTTGAACCTCGTAAAGTGGCAATCAAATTAGCCTTGCAAAGTGCTCTCACTGCTCAAAGTCACTACCAGTGGATAGGGCCAACATTGCTCAATGAGAAAGAAAAGGATGCATGGACACATTGCTTGAACTTCTATAACAACACAATTGATGAGCTCAACCGCACCCTCGACCCTCACGTAAACTCCACCGATCTTGACACCCAAACTTGGCTTAGCACTGCTTCGACCTACCTTGAAACGTGTAAAGACATAATCAATGATCTAGGGGTTCCAAATTCTATTTTACCTCTCGTGATGTCTAACAATGTTTCCAAGCTAATAACCAACTCTTTGGCTCTATATAACAACATCTCGTCAGTTTTGCCTCAAACTCATGAAGATGATTTTCCTAGTTGGGTTAACGCAGGTGATAGAAAGCTCTTGCAGGCATCTTCACCAACTCCAGATCTTGTGGTGGCTCAAGATGGATCTGGGAATTACAGTACTATAAAGGCAGCACTTGATGCGGCTGCGAAGAGTAGTGGGAGTAGGAGGTTTGTTATTCATATTAAGAGTGGGGTATATAAAGAGCAGCTTGAAATTGGTAAGGAATTGGAGAATCTCATGCTTGTTGGTGATGGAATGACAGAAACCATAATCACTGGGAGCCAGAGTTATGGTGGAGGTGTTTCCACATTTAACACGGCAACAGCTGGTAAATCTTCAACTCGTTCTTTGTCTTAATTTCTATTCATAAATTGTTTCAGCCTTTTAGGAGGCTCTCACTTTTTCGAACCTTGATAATTTTTAATATTCTCTGTGAAAATCAAAACCAATGTTAACAAATTTATGAATTCTCAGGGATCGATGGTCGTGGATTCATTGCTCGTGACATCACATTCCAAAATACTGCTGGTCCACAAAACCATCAAGCCGTAGCCCTACGATCAAGTTCCGATAACTCTGTCTTCTACCGTTGCGGCTTTGAAGGGTATCAAGACACCTTGTATGTCCACAGTCAAAGACAATTCTATAGGGAATGCTCTATCTACGGTACAATAGACTTCATTTTCGGAGATGCAGCTGTTGTCTTGCAAAATTGCATGATATATGTAAGAAGGCCTAATGGTAGCAACGAGAATGTAATAACAGCCCAAGGCAGGTCCTGCCCTTATAGTAACACAGGGATTGTGATCCATAATTCACGAGTCTTGGCTGCAGAAGACCTTGGCTCTGCAAAAACATACTTAGGAAGGCCATGGAAGCAGTACTCGCGCACAGTTTTTCTCCAAACTTATCTTGATTCTTTGGTGGATCCAGCAGGTTGGTTAGAGTGGAATGGTAGTTTTGCCCTAAACACTTTGTATTATGGAGAATACAAGAACACCGGTCCTGGAGCTTCGACTAGTGGAAGAGTTAAGTGGCCTGGTTACCGGGTTATAAATACTGTAGAAGAAGCATCAAAATTCACAGTCGCAAATTTCATAGGCGGCAATTCATGGCTGCCAGCTATCGGTGTGCCATTTGCTGCCGGACTTTGATGTTATCGACACTTCCTTGCATTATTGTTTCAATGAATGTTCTTTTCTTTTTCAATAAGTGTCGTGGCTTATTGCATTGGCATCCAAGAGGGGAACCACGTTTATGAGAGTGGATTTTTCTTTTTTTTTCCTTGGCAAAACTAAATGGAGCTCCATCCATATATGAAGTTTTTCTGGCATTTTTAATGCATCGAGCAGTGAAAACTTAATTATTAAGTGAACATATATAAGCATGGATTTTGTCAAGTTCAAAGCAAATTGTCCAGGAATCACTGATAAGCATGGATTTTTCAAGTTTGTTTTCAATGTCCATGCACTATTTTGCTTTCAGCTAGACCCAATTTTTATCCCTCAAAAAAAAAAAAAAAAAAGAGCAAAATTTCCAGAACAAAAGAAATAAGGAATTTTCGTTTTGAAAACCTAAAGAAATGTGTTGTTTCTTGTAATCAAATGAGTGCACCCATCACAATTTTGAAGTAAAAAATGTTTATCTGTAAAAGAGAGATTTTTTAATCTGAAGTCACTCGTTTTTTTTTTTTTTTGTCCTTCAAGAATTCAGTTTCTGAAGCCACTGTTTTTTGTGTTCTATTGCAACGAACAAAAACTTCTTTAAGAAAAATGTTACAACTTACATTTTTAACTTAAATGGGTTTTCAACCTTATTTTCAAAAAAAAAAAAATTCATTAAGATATTTACATCTAGTGGCTAACGCCTCGCACAAACACCTTAAAGAATAACATTGGTGTTGATATATATATATATATATATATATATATCACTGCTTGACTTGAAAATATTCATCATTTTAAATAATTTAAGCCACAAATTTTATGAACCGAGAATGGTGATCTTTCTCGGAAATGACATTGAAGGACGACATTTAGTCTTTTTTTATATATAATTAATCCTGGAATTTTGGCATTTTTTAATTGATTAGTAAATATTTAATATTCTTTATGTCTTAAATAAATTATCATATTTTATTTTTTACATATATTAAAAATTTTATTAATTTATATATGCTATATTATTATTTTTTATTCGTACTTTTTAAAAATACTTGTGTTTTTTTTCCAATAATAACTCACTTATTAAATGAACTTGATTTAGGGACATTGTAGGAAAATACATCGTTTAATATATTTTTTGACTAGACAATTAATTTGGAACCAAAAAAAAAAAAAGAATCTAGACAATCTCTTTAAAACAAAGGGAATACTATTTTCTTTAATCTCCAATAATTAGTTTGTATTATTTATAAATGAAAAATTTTAATGGTTTTTTTAAATTAAAATATTTCATATTTAAAATCTGAATAATTTTATATAAATTATCTCAATTTAAAATTAAATCATGTCGTTTGTTTGATTTTAAATATGCGTTTAAAATAAATTTAAATTGCAATAAAATAAAAATTAGGGTCGTGATATTGAATTATCTTCAAAAATTTAATAGTTATGAGATATATCCTACCCACCCTATGCACGAATATCATAAGTACTCTTTAAAATAATGATCTTAAGAAATATTGCACCAATTTATTCATAATTAAGTATATTTAGAAATCAAAATAATAGTTTGCAAATAAGAAAGTTTCAAGTCTTTCAACATTTTCCATATAGAAAATTGTTTTGCTTCTTTCTTAAACGTAGGAATTAAGATCGAGGTGCAACTGCCACAATTATGAAATCGGAAATTGAAGGTTTGAAAGTTATAATTCAAATAGTTACAATTTTCATCCATTAAAATAAAATTAATAACAGTACTTTAAAAATTTCACCAAAAAACTGATTAATTTCGTAATTAATTAAACTTTTTATATAGTCATTTCTTGAAGAGACTAACATACCTTATAGACTAAGTATAGCAAGACAAATATCAAAAAAAATCTATCTTAATCCTCCATATCTGTCTTGAAAAAATTATCCTGTTTTTTTTTTATTCGTTTGAAAATAATTTTTTGATTAAAATATTTAATTTAATCATGTATTTTACTACAATACATGCAACTGTTTAAAAACTTATTTATAGATCTAAAGTATGAATAAAAAACAATGGCATATTGTATCAATTAAATTGGTGACATTTTTAATGTATGTATTAGTCAAACATAATAATTTTTTATTTTTTAGATTTTTAGGATATCACAGGCTCAAAGAGCTAAACTAATTACTCGTTCGGTGAGACATACAAGAGCTATCCAAAGAATTTTATGCGTATATAAGAATTCAAAACTGAAATAACATAATAATTTTTTATCGAAAAAAAAAAGTATATCTTTCAAATAATATTGGAGTCTAACTAGCTAGCTTTGATCCTTCTGAGGTATTAGGAAAAAGCTAAGTGATATAAAACATTAGCTACATTATTAGCATGTTTGCTTTACATGAATTATAACATAGAAAGCATCAAAATCACGAGACAGGAAACGCAGATCTCCCATAAGTTCTACTTTGCTATTTGGGCTTATTTCTGATCTGTTGAAAGCAGTTACTGTACCAAAGCAGTCACTCTTAATGATAATGCTATTATAACCCATGTCCCTACATTCCTTGTCTAATCGTCATAGTTTCAGCAATCTCCACCAATCGAGTATTTATCTTTATTTGACAAGGACAGAGGCAGCAGCTAGCCTTGATCTTTACCTCAACCTTGACATTCAAGTTTCAAAAATTCTGCCCTATCCATTGTTTTCACCGATACTATCATCTTTCACCTTTAACGAGATACAAGATTGATATACTTTTTAAAAACAATAATGCTTCATCAGTTTTGCCCCAAATTTATCAAGCAGCTGGTCTTCCAAGTTGGCTTAAAGTGGCAGCTAGAAAGCTCTTGCAGCGGAGATCTTCCGCGATTTCAAATATTGTGGTGGCTCAAGATGGCTCAGGGAATTGCCGTACTATACAAGCAGCACTTGACGCGGCGGCGACGAGGAAAGGGAAATGGAGGTTTATTATTCATAATAAGGTCTATAATTAAAATACTAAATAACATAAAATCCACTTCCTAAATCTAACATTTACAGCACTTTAGACTGACGTCATTTTATTTTGATGATTAAAACTCTAAAACTATTATAAGATAGGTGATATATATATATATATATCAAAATTTGAAAAAATAATCAAATTGTTTTTATCTGTCACCAAAAATATTTTATGTAAGAGTTGTCTCCAAAATTTTTTTATTCAATGGTAAAGATATTTTTACTTCAACTTTTGAATATGGATTTATAAATTTTTTTTCAAATGATCTTAAACATGCAATATTAAGTTGTAAAGACTGATATGAAAAAGAGTTTATAATACAAAACGTTATGCACATAATGATCACTCTAGCCAAGTAGGGGGCAGCAACCCTTGCGGGAGCTCGGGTACAAAACCCTCAAAAGGCTTATAGAATATTTGATCAGATATATATATTTTTTAATTTTCGTTGCCCACATTATAAATACATGTAATATTATTTATATTTATAGTCATCACTCAATAAAATATTAATAAAAAATCCTAATGTAATTATAAAGTAGATACAATTATCAAATCATGTAAATCTTTACATTGTGTGATTGTCAATCTACACAATTTTCTTACTTAATTCATTTACTAACAGGCAATTCCTACATCAGCTGGATTCATTCGATGGTCTTGAGAATAATTGACCATAAAAGACAAAAATGGAAGTGAGAGAGAGAAAGAACAATAACAATTAATTTGAAAAGTTTATTTCCTATTAATTCTTTTAGTATATTAAGTTAAAATTTGACAGTTATCAAATTACATGATTTTTTTTTCAGAATAATTACTTTGTAAGAGAAGCTCCATTTCAAGGATTTTATATATATTTAAATAATTCTTTTTCTTCTTTATTTTAATATATGAAATTTAAAAGATTCTTTAAGCCAAACATTTTTAAAATCATTTTCTTTCTCCTACGGCAAGAGATTCATTGCTCATGGGATCACATTCCGTAACACTGATGGTCCAGAAAATGAGCAGGCTGTAGCCCTCCAATCAAGCTCCAAGCGTTCTGTCCTCTATCACCGTGGCTTTGAAGGGTAGCAAGACGCCTTGTACGTTCATAGTGAACAACAATTCCACCGGGAAAGTAATATTTCCGGCGCAATAGACTTCATTTTCAGAAATGCAGCTGCTGTCTTACAGAACTGCATCATATATAACCAATATAACACAGAAACAGCCTCCGGCAGAAGCACGGCTAGTGACCAGGCCGGATTTATAATCCAAAATTTAGAAGTTCTGCCCACACCGGAGCTTGAACGGGAATGGATCTCTGTATTCTAGCCGGTTTACTAGGTTTAGGTGTTTTCGGAGTTTGGGCGTGGGAACATGGGCCTAGTTTGGACAATAAGAAGGCATGTTAGATTTACTGGGCTAAACTGATAAAACACAGTTTTATAAGCCCATCTCAGTTCAAGGGCCTTTGACGTTGAGAATGATCCACTTTATTAAAGATATCCATGAGCCCATCTTGTCGTAATAATTAGGGGTAGGGGGAAGATATCCTTTACCTAGATTAATCAACTGATAAACTATTAAAAAAAAAAAAAAACTATGGCAGTATTGTCTTCATGCTTAGGTAAATATGCAGCGATGCTGTAATCTGTGGTCTTGTAGGACATGTGACACATGCCTCCTCCCTCGTAGGAAAAGTGGGGAATCAAGTTCCAAGGAAATAATCATTATCAAATCAAGTTTATATCTCTATTGAAAAGTAAGTAATTTTTGCTTGGATGCGATTGAATTTAACTTCGTTTATTTATGCATATATCATTTTGCATGGAAATCTTAGGGTGGTTATGGTGCTGGATAATATATTGATAATTGTGTTTTTTCCATTGACAATATTGAATAATTTATTGAGTGAGCATGACGTATTGCTTCCTTTTTTTCTTTTTTCTTTTTTTGTACAATATCGAAATAAACAAAGTTAAATTCAATCGCATCCAAGCAAAAAATTTACAATATCTCACAATAACTATTGTAATGAATAATGTCATTATGGAAATCTTAGGTTAGTGATGGTGCTGGATAAATCAATTGATAATTGTGTTCTTCTTCTTCTTCTTTTTCATTAACAAAATATAATAATTTATTGAGTGGGCATGACGTATTGCTTCCATTTTTTTCTTTTTTCTTCCTTTTTTTTTTTTTTTTTTTTTGGGACGATGAACCTAGTTACCACAAATGATCACCAATTTTCCAAGTTTATCATCTAACAAGTAAGTAGCTCTTTATCATTGCGATACACCATTTATTTCAGGCAGTAATTCTCTATACAAGCTTTAATTATGATCTTAATCATGTCAACTTCCACTTTTTTAACCCTCTATTTGTTCTCATTTCTTATTCATATAATTATATGTATAAGTTATTATTTTGAGGGTGACTTATAAACCGTAATGCAATCATAAAATCACTTCCATTATATATGTTATTATTTAATTTTAGGTGATGAGCTTTAATTTTTAACAAGTTCCAACAAAAATAGACGCTTAGAAGACAATTATTAGTATCAATATTTGTTCTTTAAGTCAATTTTGTTAGAATTGCATCTACGTGTGCGGCTAAAAAGATTAATAATACATCATGCATATCAATAAAAGTTACCTCTTTGTAATTGATTTACTAGCATGGGGTACTACTTTTAATTATGTTTCAAATGGAGATTAACATGGAAGATTCCATACATGCACATACATTATTTTCCTTGCTTTCTTTTTTGTTCATGTGTTTCATATGATAGTTCAAAAAAAAAAAAAATTGTAAGCTCTTTTTTATTCTCAAAGAAAATAAAGCACTCTTTTTCTTGGATGAGTTAACAAAGTTGTTCTTATAATTCTTAGAGAATGAATACAATTGAACAAAATCAAAATATATAAAAGGAAAAGCAAAAAAAAAAAAAAACCAAACTATTGTCATAAAAGTATTATACAGGGCTCTAATACTGAAATCGTATTTATTGAAAAGGATTAAATTTTATCACTCTCGTTTCGAATATGAGTAGTCTTATCTCTAACCTACGATGAAGATACATAGATAAAACCAAAAATAAAAATAAACAAGTAATTTGACTAGTAAAATCAAGGTAGCCCCTACTTTGGGGAGCCAAGTGGTCCAAGATACAAGAAGCCTTTCACTATCTTGTATGTTTAAATGTAATGGGGTAAATATCATTCTCTTGGAACTTCTCAAACCAGACAATTCTTGCATTATCAAGTTTAGGTAATACCTATGATCATCATCTATATACGACACATAAACCACGAGTTAATTTAGAATAGAAAAACTTCACTTTGAATCTTTCTAGATAAAAAATAAATTCGAAATACTACACAAGCAAGCATACCCTAATACTCAAGTATTTTGTAGCTTTTTTTAATAAAACAAGTTCCTGTTTTAATAATTTTAATTTATTTGATTATTATATAGTTGTGATGCTCCAAATCTCACATTAGTGGGTGGTGAGAAATTTGAATTAAATAAAATGAATAACTAATAAACTTATGTGCAACAAAGAATTTCTTTTGGACAGTGAATACAAATAGACCTAACTCTGTTGCACCTGTAGGTCCAGAAGCTGTTCAATGTGCACCAGGCCTCTCCTCCTAGGCTTGGAGCCTTCCAAATGGTATTAAAAATAATCCCAACCCAATGTGGGAACTAAGTGCTACATGGGATGAGTGTTATACCTTTGTAGAGGGTGAGAGCCACATCTGGAACCCGTATGAGCCACCTCTAAAATCCTACATTGTTTAGGGCTCGATCCTAGACTGTACTTGTAACCTCAAAAGCTATCGATGCACATCAAGACTTTCTCCAGGCCTTAAGCTTACGCGTTACAATAATGGAATAGAGTTACATCATTGTACAGGCCGAAGCAACGAACTCTCCGATCAACCAAGAAAAAAAAACAAAACTATGTGTTGAGTACTAAATTCAGTACAATCCAAGTTGGCCACACAAAATCATGCATGTCAAGAAATTCGACGAGGCAGGGTGTTTTGGAGAGAGGATTGGGCACTCGAAAACTTAGCGCACTGCACCACTTGGCATCCAAGTTGAAGCTCAAATCAATTATCATCATAGCCTGTTAACTAGGGTATGGTCCATTTTCCATGTAGACTAGGGTATAACACTGACGCTGCTTATAATGCATGCATGTGTTGAAAGGCCAAGAAGGTTCCTCCTAGGAGATAAAGGGTGTTCATGAAAACATATACAGCATGTATTATCCTGATGGTTTGAGAATTAATGTAGATTGAGAGTTAGCAAGCTCTACCAGAAATTTGAGAGTTCTTTTATCCAGCCAATATATATATATTTGAAACCCCTCAAATGTTTTAATTTAACCAAAATACTAGATTCATTCCTTAATTCACGTGCCCATATGCACAAAATATTGCTTTCCAATATTTCTTGCATGAACGAGGTTTATTTAGATAGCCAAATCATCAAAATTCAAAAAATTCATTATAATACATCGTTAAAAATACTTGACAAGTACATTACAAGAGTAATCGGATAGAACTATTCATGTTTATTGAGAAGTAAATCTATATATAGATTAATTGACAAATCATATACTAAGACTCAATTTATTTCTAAATGTTCCACCTGATTTTTTTTTATTTTTTTATTGTGTTAAAATATCGGTTTTTTTTTTAATATGTTCATTGTGATTTTTCCTAAAGTTTTTCTATAGAAACTCTCAATTCAATAAAAAGAAATTTAAACATAATATTGAGATTCATTACACCACCAATTAACATTTCGAATTTACATCAACTCGATCTATATTACTGTTTTTTCAATTTTCTAGTCTAATTTTTTACATTGCAAGTTCTTTATTGCCGCCCACTTATCATCCTATCATCCATGCCTACAAGCTCTTGACCACATAACAATCAATGTAATTTCTCAAGTTGCTTTCATGCTATAGCATTCATCATTTAATCAATTTTTTATATTATGTATAACTATTTACTCATCATCGATTATTTGATTGGCATTTCTCTAATCGATTGTGAAAGAAGCGGTCTACATAATTATAAATATTAAAAAATATATATATATCTTTTTAAATTAACTTTTGACCTTGAAAAGATCCCATACTCTATTCTTTATCATTTACTTGAACTTCCTCACGCAATGAAGTAAAGGTACCAGTCCCACTCCACAAATAAATACCTACCATAGTTTTATATATATATATATATATATATATATATAATAAAAAAAAATTGGTCCCAAAAAATATCTTCGCATCAAAGAAATATCTGATAAAAAAGTATAGCAACCTGAGATGTTGATTGGGACCAGGATCAAAAATTCACATTTATCATTGCCTAGACTTCACATAAATATGAATGCCAACATGATTTTATAAGCAGACTGATGACCCTTTCTAGCCATGAAGAGTTTTTTTTTTTTTTTTTTTTTTTTTGGGCTTTCGGTACAAAAGCTGGTAAACTGTCTTCTTTCAATTTCTATACAGTACAATATGATTATGTGGAATTTCTCCATCACATATGGCCTACCCTTGTATTCAGACCCTTTGCTTTGAGTATATCGTACTTCTAGCAGGTGTACAATTATACTCCTAGATATTTCTGAACTTTTGTTTCCAAAGCTGCCCTCATGGATGAAACAAGTTGATGAGAGAATAAAGTTTATTAAATATATACCATCACATTCTGAAAATATAAATTCGTTGCTGAAGCTAACCTAATAATTACCTCTACATATATAGCTTGGTGAAATGGTTTACATACTCGATTGAAGGTTTTTTAATTTGAAGCAAAAGTAAATATTAAAAAAACTATGTATAGTACTTTAGATTTTTTATTTTTTTCCCTTAACGTCCAAAAAAAAATGCACAAATCCTCAAACTTTTTAAAATTTTATATTTATCAAATACCACTAGAAGACATATATTTTCAATTATATGATGAATTTTATGAGACTTACTTGAATATTTTAGTCTATTCTTCCAAATGTGAATTTGGTTTCCTCGAAATATTATATATCATTCACAAGAGATTATTTTATACATAATTAGATACAAAATATAATTTTACTAATTATGTGAAGATACACATGATGAGATTAACGAGACTATTCTTGTAAGAATAAAAAAAATATCTATAAATTAACCTACTAATTTCTTAGTATGTTTTGGCTTTGATTTAGTTTAAAAAATATTGAATTTAGTCTCGATTGATAAAAAAACTAATTCGAAAATATTCTACTATCCGATAATACAAAAAAAAACAATAAAAATAAGATACAATAATAAAATAAATAAATTGATGATCCCATGTAATAAAGTATAGGGACCAAAATCTACTTAATCCAATTTCATATATTCAGCAAAAATACCTCCCTCAAAGCAGGAGGAAAAATAAAAAGCATATTAAATTATAGTCGAGAATAATTAGTTGAAAACTAACCTAATCCTGTTTTACCATAATCACTTCCCCATAAGGAAAGGGCAAATTTGTCCTACAAAAAATCCCAGGAGACAAACAACCAATAGAAACTTCCCATGTGGTCCCCTTCAATTGCAGTAGAAAGGCTACAGTGCTCCGCGGATGCAGGGGACACGGAGTGATGATGCAAGAACGGACTCTGATGACAGTGAAAGAAATCTCTGGTGGGTCCCAAGGAGTATTACAGAAGCAGCATCCCTATTGGTTGCTGCTAAGTTCAGCCATCCAAACGGTGCCACGTCAGATCGTAACCGAGCCAGCTGCGAAACGTGCGGCCCGAAATAATGATGTTTCTACGGCCGTAATGATGGTAGGACCCACGCCATTGAATCACAGCCCACATCATAAAAGAGATGCACTTTTGTGATTTTTTATGTCTGCTTTTAGTTGTATAAAGACAAGACTGAATTTGAGGTTGGTGCTTCACGGCTAATGGTTTTCTATCACGTGTTTTATTATTATTATTATTATCGACTTGGTTTTGTTTTTAGATGTGGTTATAATTGGAGAGATGATGCAAATTTTGGTGGAGGTGATGTGAGATTATTGTCCTGACCATGTCTGAAACTTATGTTCAATTTGTAGAAAAGTTAAATTAAATAGAGAAATGCCACTTTGATCCTAAAAGTTTCCCACTAAGTAAAATTAAATTGTCAAAATACATTAATTACATTTTAACAAATATAATATTTATATATTAATAGGAGAAATACTATCTCATCCGATATATTTATCTATTATCCATTTTTAAATGTATATGCCAATAAGAAAAATGCTATCCGATCCAATAAACCTATTTATTTATCATTTTTATTTTTAATTTAATCAGATGAAGTTATATATATATATATATTCCTCGTTTATTGATTATAAAAATCAAATTAATTTCTGTCTAATCTTATTTTATGTCAGTTAAATAGAGTAAAAACTTCAATTTTATTAAATGGTGGAATCATATGAAATTATCATCCTTAATCTAATATGCATCGATTTTTAATTAATTAATTTTTAAAGAAAAAATAGAAAGGAATTTTTTTGAGAAGCTATTGGCCAAAATATCATTGGTGATACATCATTGAGAGAGAAAATGTTGGGAGAATATATTTAAGAGAAATTATGAACAAAATTTCATATGGCATCATTTGAGCCACGAATAATAGAGTATTTATGGCTTCATTTGCATCATTTGAGAAATAAATTCACATAGATTTCCTACAGTGCAATGATCGAGCTGCTTTTGGAGTATTTATTGCATCATCAATAACACAAATCAGTGCATAAAATGCTTGTAAAATTATTATTATTATTATTATTATTATTATTATTTACTTTGTATTACTTCCTTATTTTATAAAAGTAGGGTTGTCAGTAAAAAAGTTGAAAACCCAGTGCAGAAAATGCTTGTAAATTTCACGTGTTTTATGTGGACCCCACTTGGGACATGCTAGTGGACCAACTGGACGATAAGTAGGACCCGCAGAAACAAGCCAGCAAAGAAGGTGCGAGCTTAATGATAGTGGCTAGCCCAGGCCGGACCGCGAGCCGCTACCAAGTACAGAGAGACCTCAGGCTCATCATTCACGATCTGAAGTGGGACCCATGTTCCAACAAAATCGGCTTGGCCCAGCTAGCTGTAGCCGGCTTCACATAGTGTTTTGCAATAATCTTGTAATTTGGAGGATTGTCCCTTTCTCAGAACCATTGGTTCGTCATTTGGGCCCACTAGTAAAAATGAAGTTGTAGTAACTATTAAGCGAGAGGATTGTCACTTTCTTATTATTGGGTAAATTTAGACCATAAAGAGATAATTCCTTTCACATTTGATTTTTTGTTATTTTTGAATTTTTTTTTCTCAAATCAAGTTTGTTATTAGCTATTTGGAATTCCATCAAATGTTACAAATTAAATTCAAATTTAATGATTGTATATCTAATAATTATTTTTGGCAAAATAAATTCGAGTTTTTATGGCTATTTATCTTATTGTAATCAAGTATTGAAAGAGAACTGTTCTCATTATATATTTAATTATATATCATCAAAAAAAATATTTTGAGTGGGTTTTTTTATTACAAACTATTTTTTTTATGATCTACAAAAGTTTTTATATTGAACCATGAATTCAAATGAAACTATAATATAAGAACTAAATTAAAATATTCAAATTAGACATAGTAAGAAAATGAAAGTTATAATTCAAAAACTAATTTGATATCAACCATTCATGGAGGTGAAAAGGTTATGGTTAAAAATACTAATTAAGACACAAATAAGTATAGCTTTGTAGTTATGTATTTTTTTTATTTTTTATTTAGTAAAGTAGATTCATGTTTTATTTATTTAATTTCTTTGATTATATAATAATAATAATAATATTAATAATAATAATTTCTCATTATGTAATTCAAAACCTAACAAAAAAAATTAAATTACCGATTGAGATGCATAAGAGTAGAAAATAACAAACCAACGAAAGTCGGCCAATTTTGACACTACGTGCAAAAAACACACTGAATCCAAAACGGAACGGGGAGAAAGAACTGGCTCTGGCTGGAACTTGAACGGGGCTTGAGCTCCCGTATCAAGACATCAAGCTGAAATACTATTTTACACCAATAAATAAATATGGAAGTGAAAGACATTATGATTGTGGGCATGAAAACGTATCGGTCACGACCAAAACCGGTACGTTAAATAATATATAAATGAAGAAGGGTAGTGTTGGTAGCTAGAATGCAAAGTTGTACGGTAGATAAGTGGGGGACAATGCTACTCCTTAGTATGTTGGTAATATAATTGGCATGATATAATTATTGTTTTAGAAAAATTAATTTTTAAATAATATAATTTGCATGCTAATCCGGCATGGTTTTCTCCAAATAGTGTTTTAGTATCCTTAAGATTTGATAAACTTTTGGTTGGAGGGGACGATGGACATGCTCAAATAAGAAATTCATTATTGTATGCAAAGGGATTGATGGATCCCAAAAAATAATAAAAAAAAAATCAACACTAAAAGCTAGGGTAAAAAATAATTGAAAAGTCTCAATAGTCCTTAAAGTAGGGGAATTAAAGTTTTTTAATAGTGCTTTTTGGAGGGTTGTGGTATGCCTTCATTCCAATATTATCAATAGTCCTTAAGATTTAACATATATATATATATATATATATAAACTTCACCTATAAAGAGGGATATTAAATTTCATTTTGCATGAAGCATTATATCGAATTTTTTATAGCAACATATTAACCTTTTCTCGCAGCGAGAGAACGTAAGAATCGATTTATTTTGTTTGATAGAAAATGAGATTTAGATACTTGAGTGATGTTTATTAAATCTAGATCATTTAATTCAAATTGAATAGTAATAATTTAATGTCTGAAAAAAAAAACTTAAATTTTTATTATTTTATTTTATTTATCAAATAACAATCTCAATCTAAAAATTTAACCTATTTAATTATTTAATTAGAAGAGAAAGGGAAGATGATGAAATTCAAACTTATGACTTGTTTGATTATCGGTGAGGTTCGAACTTATGACTATTTGATTATCAAGGTTAGCTCTAATACTATGTCAAAAAATTAAATCTTTAGATGATGTCTCAAAATTAATTTTATATCATTTTCTAACACGCTAAATTTAAATTCAATGATGAGATTTAAAATAAGATTAATTATATTTTTTTAAGAGCACGAGATAATTTAAATGAGAACTAGAGCCCTTAACAACTAGGTTTCTAAGAAAAATTGTACATGAAATGCCTTCTCGATGAACATGACCTTTAAAGGGAGGGGAAAAGAGGGGTTACCTGCACCTTTAAGCCTAATATATCCTTCCATATTAGAAGTAGCATTTTTTTTTTTTGTACGACAACTAATTTTTTGGAAGGTGTCGACCATATACAATACATAAAGCAATATTGTGTTTTTCACATTTACCTATATTTAGAGGATTTCCATTGCATTTATCAAGTTTCTCCATAAATAAGACTAATTGAACGTAGATATGCAATCTCATCAAAGAGCTAGCGAGAAATTCGAATTTGAGATCTCATGTTAAATGATTGTTCGCATCACCATCCAAATCAATCGTTGTACGCAGAAATTTATTTATAGAGTTATCCCATATCGAAAAATCATTTCAACCTAAAATGTTAAACTATTTTATGATGTCCTAAAATATGATTTAAAGTATTCTTTAATATATTCTCTCAAGTGAAAATCTTTTAGTTTGAAACTTGCATGGATCCACACTATTTTGTACTTAATTAATTAAAAATGACATGAATGTAGTAAAATTCAAACTTGTGACCGTTTGATCATAAAGGCTCTAATATCATGCATGCCAAAGAACTATTTCAATCCAAAAATTTAAACTATTAAGTTAAGCCTTAAGATATGATTTGTAGTATTTTTTAACGGTGTTTTTAAAATGATTTTTTTATAATATGGATATTTTTTCTTTAAACTTTGTTAGCATCGGAGGTCTCGCTATCTCACAAGAAATAAAGAACTCAATTAAGATTCATATTAGGATTGAAAAAATATAAAAATTAAACAAATCAGCATTCAAAATTCATAGAATTGGTTTTGTTGGGATACCAGCTACTTAAGCCAGAACACCATAAATAATTTCTTTGCCAATCTCTTTTCATTTTAAGAAATTTTTTACTTGTCCAATGACGACAACAAGTATTGACAATTAGATCAGAGAATTCGAGATTCCTGTTTATTCATAAATGGCATGCTTTTTTTCACCTCAAAGGTGACTATAATCTTGGTGAACAAACTACCTTGATGATACCACCTCACATATAGCTAAAAGGCCAGCAATAACTGTAGAGACATGCTAGCATTCACTGAAGTAGAATAAAATATCCTTTCATGTGAAAAGAGAAAGCAGCTTGAGGTTACCATTCGGTATGTGACTAGCTATACTTAATGCCTAGCTAGGAATTAATCGGGTAGGAAATGTGCTCGTAGAGGTCATAATGAAGCAATTCCAAATAGATCATATTTTATGACATTAACCATAATGCATAGACAAATTGGATGGTTCAATCTCATAGCAAACAGAACGTTTGGATCACATAAACAAAGAAAATATACATATTTTGCCCAGACTATGAATTATTACAGTAATGATAAAACTCACCAATTTTATCTACCCCTTGCAAAAAATAAAAGAAAAGAAGACTAGCCATTTCTATGGCCACACCTATTGGTGTCGGACCACAATATTGGGAAAGAGAGACCATGGGTAGATCCAACATCATCATTCTGATTTTATTACGGTTAAGACTTCAAAGAAATGGTAGGGACGAGGAATGGAGTTTAGGGCTAGCAAGGGCCACCATGCCACTTTCAAGAAAAAATAAAAGAGAGAGAGAGAGAGAGGGAGAGAGAGAGAGATGATATGTTTGTGTGTAACTTTTTGGCTGGTGGCTGTTCCATTACGTCACCACCAATATTATCACCATTTTTTTTTCTCTTTTATTCTCTCTTTTTGGGGTCTTCTAGTTACTCTTTTAAGCTTTCTTGATTGATCTGTTCCATTAGCTCATCTCTTGACAATTCCACCCTTTAGCCACCCATCTTTCTCGCTTTCTTTCCTAGAGAGAAGAAGAAGATCTTTGTGTGTGCTGGCTTCTCTTCTCTTTAGGGTCTCTATCAGTTGCGGGTAGAGGAAGAAGTAGAAAGATCAAGAGAGGAAGAGTTTTTGGGTTACCTGGCTACCTAGCTAATCTTTTAGTTTTGCCTACTTTTTTCCCGCCCAAATCTTGTCCATCAATCTAGCTCAATTCGATAATGAGAGACAATGAGAGCTTATGTTGAATAACATTTATGAATCATTGATGATAACAATATTTGGTCATTAGGGTTTTGTTTCTTTTCTTCGTCTCTTTCTCTCTCTCTCTCTTATTTAACCCTACTTGTTTTCCCTTCTTCCATTCCTCTCTTTCTCAGCTTTTTCCTTTGTTGAGTGTGTTGTTCTTCCTTGGGATGCAATCCGACAACTAGACAGGCACATTTTTTTTGTTGGGAGTTAAAAAGGGAGGTTGGGGTTCAATTCCCAAGGAGATGTTATAAAGTACTAAAAACTGTTTTTTTTCCTTCTTTTTTTCACTTTTTTGTCTTGTTTTTGTCTGATTTTAGGAGCTTCCTCTATAGTTGGAGTGAAGTTGAGGGCTAGCAGCCACAAGTTTCTGTCTTATCATTCTACTTTTGGAGAAAAAGGGTTTTGCTTTGTTGAATTCAAGGAAGTGTCAATCAACAATACAGATCTGTGGGTTACAAGGACTAGGGATCGATCTTGGTTTTTTGATCTGTGAGCTCTCTCTTTTCTTGATCTTCATATTTTTGCTGCTTGTGCATGGAATATTAGATATGTGGATCGTTTTCTTACCAAAAAATCAATGATATTTCATGTGTGAGACATGATGGAAATGAAGTTGGAGGTTGGATTGATGAAAAAAAATCCATGATGTGAAAGTTTTTGCAGATCTATAATCTCAAGAAATGATCAGGGTTTTTTTTTCGACAAATAAAAAGAACAGAAATTAACCTATATATATCTAGCTATGAAGTATTTTATGATTTTGAAATACCAAGTTCATTCTATTAATCATTATTACCTATACAATAATTTCATTCATCACATATGTTTTCTGGCCTTTTATTTTTGACTCCTTTTTATGGGTTATACTGCTTATTTTCTCTTGTTTCATGTAATGGAATGTCCATAATTCTGCACCATAAAAGTGATATTGCATTATGGTTATCACATGTGAGTTGTCTTTGCCAAAAAAAAAATCATCACATGCGTGTTCACTGAAGAGGAAAGTTAATTTTCATATGCGAGAAGATTTATTTTCAACGTTTAAATTAATCACCTTTAGAATTTCATGAACTGAAAATTATTTTTCAGTTTTGTATCCTGATATTTAAACAATATTTTTTGTTCACCTTATTGTAATCCTTTTTCTTTTTTTAATGATAAATTTGGAGCTAGAAAAAGATGAGAAGCTCTTGGGCTATGTATACTCAAATACGAAACCTGATCTATAGAAGCAAAATCAGTAATTAATTCATTCAACCAGTTGACTATTATTTCATGATTATACGATCTTTTTTTTCATAATTACACTGAAAATTTTGATATTTTTCTCGATCTCCCATTCAGTCATGCATGAGACCTTTCAACAATGAGGAGAAAATTACATTCTCTTCCAATCTTGCCTTTTTTTTTTAATTCAGAACCCTTATTTCATTATTTTTTGTGTAAAAATGTGCTTTCATATCATTTAATTACTCTCATTTAATGTCCTTAACAAAGGAACAGGAAAAAGAAAAGAAAAGAAGATAGTACTAAATGATACCATACTGTAATTAGTATATCTATGATATTTAAAAGATCAAACATGTTTAAAAATGGGATAAATTTTATTAGTTTTTCTTCTAAAATGTTATTGATCTACATTGAAGCATTTTCTGTGTATGTATGTGTGTTTGTCTCTGTGTGTATATAAGTTTATATACCTTTCAATGATCAATATCTAATGAAGTCCAATTAGTCTTCACCTTCATTTTGTTACCAAAAATTTTGTTTGCTGTGACAGTTCTTGAAGTTTCTTCTGTTTTCATATTATTAATTTGTAAATGATTATTTTGTTTGTGTGTCAAATCTTCTTTTAACATAGAAAAATATGAATTAGTCTATGTTATACATTATCTCCTCAGCTTATCCTTTACAAGCACTAACAAAAAATTGCTTGTATATGGCAGAACACTGTTCAGTTTTTCTTCTTCTTCTTCTTCTTCTTTTTTAATGATTTAATCATTATGGATGGTAAAAATTTAAGGGGTATTTTTTTCTTTCGTCAAAATTGTCATGGTTTGGACAGAATAATATGTCAATAAACTTAGTATATTATGATAAATTGAAATTATAAACGTGGAGTGGAGAAAAGAGTTGAAGTAGTGATCAATTTGATCTTCTGCTTGGAACTACTAGTAAATTAAACTTGTGCACAACATAATAATCTTCTTACATATCTGATCATAAACTAATTAATTTCACTTAATATAGCATAGAAAAGAAAATTAATTGTTCTTTGTTCTCTCTTCATCTACGTTTTCCATGTACAAATTAAGGGAACATAAGTGCTTCATAGTTAACCTAATTTTTGTGTTTATAGGTAGCAAGATCGAAAATATGATTGTAGTTTGAGATAGTCTAGAATAAAGTTATCACATGAAATATGCACTTCATTTCAAAGAAAAAGAATTTTGAACAACGAGAGATATATATACATAATAGCTATGCAGATGGAGATATGCTGATCATTGCTGCCTCAATATTGTTGTACAAGAACTTGAATAATTGTATAGACTTTTACCCATTTAGTAATGCTCTTGTTGATTTTCTTCTTGGAGAATAGTTGCTTTTCATTTTAAGGGAGAGAAAGTAAGACAATTAACATGCTGACAGGTTACATAAATTATTGTCTTTTCATATGGAATAATGTTAAGAAGAAAGGTTGGATGTCTATGAAACTAAGTCGTTCAATCCAAATAACTTCTTAGGTTTTAAAAGGGAATTGCTAGCAAATACATTTTTGCTTGAACATTCACCCCTTTCAGAATTTGTATTTTGAATTTTGTGTTGTTTTTGGACATGTAAATGATGCAGTTTGTATCTAAACAAATAATGGGAAGGTTTGGTAATGCTATGCATTTCAGTAGCTATCAAAGATATTGAACCATTAGAATAAAATTAAAACCCAAACAAGGCTGATAATTAAATCCATTAATTATATAAATGGATTTTTGGATGAAAATATATACATGCTGACGTAGTATGCTGAATGGATTGCAGGACTCAAGACCTAGTAGGAGAATATGAATACTTTTACACACGTCCCTCCTGGTTTCCGGTTCCATCCTACCGACGAGGAACTTGTCGATTACTACCTTAGGAAAAAAGTAAATGCAAGAAGGATTGACCTAGAGGTCATTAAGGATGTCGATCTTTATAAAATTGAACCATGGGATCTCCAAGGTAGTACGTACTGCATAACTCTTGCAAATAATCAGTAGTTACTTACGTTGCAAGAATTTGGACAACAGGAAATTCAGTTCACTAACCATTATAGTTTTTGTTCATCTTGATAATCTAAACAGAACTATGCCGAATAGGAACCGAGGAGCAAAGTGAATGGTACTTTTTTAGCCACAAAGATAAGAAGTATCCAACTGGAACTCGAACAAATAGAGCCACCGCTGCTGGGTTTTGGAAAGCAACAGGTAGAGATAAGGCAATTTATTCGAAGCATGACTTGATTGGAATGAGGAAGACCTTAGTCTTTTATAAAGGTCGCGCACCGAACGGGCAGAAATCGGACTGGATTATGCATGAGTACCGACTTGAAACAGATGAAAACGGGACTCCACAGGCAAGTTTAATCATAAAAATTTCTCCATGTCTTGCTTTCTTGGAAGCCATTTTTAAGTGATCTTAACCATATATAGCAGCACATTTTTTTGCAGGAAGAAGGTTGGGTTGTGTGTAGGGTGTTCAAGAAGAAGCTAGCAACGATGCGAAAAGTGAGTGAGCATGAATCAGTCTGCTGGTATGATGATCAAGTTGCGTTCATGCATGAGTTAGATTCACCAAAGCAAAACTCCCAGCCTGATTTGGGTTATCAATTCCCTTACTCCTGCAAGAAAGAGCTGGATATCCAGTACCAAATCCCTCATGATCATTTCCTCCAGCTCCCACTTCTACAAAGCCCTAAACTGCTGCAACCAGCTCCAACTATAAGCTGCAATTCCATCAACGCTGCATATGGCCTTGACATAAACCAGGCAAGCACCTTACAGTCCTCCACACTCACACAAGAAGATCACATTCAACAAACACATGATCAAAGCTTTCCCTCTATCTATGGTAACCACAACAATGAGCAAGCAGTTGATCAAGTGACAGACTGGAGAGTGCTTGACAAATTTGTTGCTTCTCAATTGAGCCAAGAAGATGTGGTCAAGGAAAACAACCACCCAAATGCTAGCGACAACATCTTCAACACGTCATCAGTTCAGGCGACAAACATCCTTGCTAGACACTTGAATAAGCAAGAAACATCGGTGCCGGAAAACGCCTCGACGTCAACCTCCAGTTGTCAAATCGATCTATGGAAGTGATGGTATCCTATTAAAAAATAATGCTACGTGGTATATACTTCATCATAGGATGTTTCTGTTTGAAAGAAAAGGGAAATTATGATTTTAAGTTCTTGTACATAATAAAACTTAAAACAACATATATATAACATTAACTGTGGTTGTCCTAGCTAGCATATATATATGAAGAGAATACTACAATACTGGACTATTGAAAAACAGTATGTGTAATTTCTACTAAGATGAAATGTTTCTTAGCTGGATTGTATGAACTGAATTGGCGTGGGAAAAGGGAGTCGAAGCAATTAATTGTTTGTATTTGTAAAGGTTTAATGTTGTAGCCTATGGTCCGGCAGCCATATATATATATATATATATATGTGCTGGTTATGGAATCGACTGAGGTTGTCAATTTCGAATGTACGTGTTTGTATTTTCAACTTTAATGAAACAATATTAGAATAAATCCTCTCAGTTCCTCTTGACTTGGTTACATTTCTGCCTTTGGATATTGTTTTCTTTTTACTTCATACTTTTTTTCACGATCAGATAGTATTTTAATATCAATTTTCACACATCAATACTAAGTTCGAAATCCGAAATCTGAAGCATCTGCTTGTAATCAAAGAATTTTCCCGAGTATATAACTGCATATAACTTATTCATGCCAGTGTTGTTATTGTTGTTGTTAAACAACTCAGACTCGAGACTTTGTTCTTCTTTTTATATAGACTATCATCAATCCGAAAAGCTATATCTTAGCTAAATAAATAGATTATTGGACCGACGGCCTTATCTTGGAATTTCAATTATACAATCTGAGTGGCGAAGCAAAACTATATATCATGATGAAAGCATGCATTTTTACAGTTTATATATCATGATATCATAATTTCATGATAAGTTAATGCTTTGCTGAGAAGTTTGGCAAATGCAGATATGTGAATTATATATGTTCTCTTTTTAAGCGTAGAAGGCACTCAAAAAAATCCAATCAGCTGGATTTTTGCATAAAATCGGTAGCACTAGGAAGATTTGGCTTTTCTTAGAGCTGGGATTCATGCATACAAGACAAAATTAATTAAGAGATAGCCGTGTCTAAATGCATGATGAAGTTGTTTTGCTAATTATTGAGCAAGTTCTAACTTTACTTGGTGAATAAGAAAATATCAACTACTTAATAAAGGTAGAGAGATGTGAAGGACGCATGGCAGACAAGTGCAATGCAATTCAAGAAGTGACTCAATTTGCCATTAACCAAAAAAAAATCCAATTTTGCTCTCTGGCCCATTTTATGGATACAAAGCAAATCAACCTAGCTAACGTAGGAAATGAATTGGCAAGAGGTAGGTTTGACACCACATTATGTTAGGACTCACACTTGTCACTTTCTATTGAGGAATTTAGGATTCCAAGAAGTTGGAATCCAAGATTAAGGATTTCTGTATGTTTGATTTGCAAGAAACTGTTAGATAAATGTGACATTAATTTGTAAATACTTCTATTGGCCAAGAACATTACGGGGAGGGAATGTGATTTCCTAACTTAAAATTACATTCTTCGGCAATTACCATTAATTATTTGCAAACTTGAATTTCTAGGAATTCTAGATTATCCATATCAAAGCCAAATAAAAATGATTTCTGTAGTTAATAAAGAAAAAATCTTTTTTATATATTTTTACCAAATAAATTTTGATGTGAAATCTTGTAATTAAATCACGTTCGAAAGCAAATAAAATCATTAAATACCCTAAATAAGCATTTAGTCAGATTATGGTTCACTGGTTTCTTTCTCCTTTGAAATAGAGAACTCCTTTATGGAAAAAAAAAAAATTACTTTTTTTCTAATCTAGAAAACATAATATCCTCTCATATTAATTTGTTCCTGTTAAATCTAGACCACTCGATTCGAAATAAATACTTATGAATTTAGTATAGGATAAAAATGGCTAAACTTAATTATTATTATTATTATCATCCAAATCATTGAATTTAAAATAAATTATAAGATTAAGAAATATAACAATTCATGTTCCCATCAGACATAATAGACCCAAATTAAAAAAAAAAAATAGAAAAATCTTATGCAGAAGCTAAAAAGAACTTCTTATTATTACTGCAAAAGAATGTAAGAATTAATGCCTCCTAACGTCAAACGACCAGAACTAAATTGGTGACCTAAAAAATTTACCAACACTTTGCTACCTAAAAAAGCACACAAAAATACCTACCTTAAATGAGCATGAACACAGAATACGTACTCATAATTTCACAGGCCGAGAGCTGCAGGAAGGGCAGGATACAGCACTGAATGTGAAATCACTAAAGAAGAACAACTAACAACACTGTGGATTAAGCAAGAATGTGTGAAAAATAGAGTGCAAGGAAGAGGCAAAACATTGGTTTTGAAGTAAAATCTAAAGAATATATATAGTACTTTTGGCACTAATGAGAGGTTCATTTACTTGTGGAGTTCTGGTGAAGTCAAGAACATGAATGTCCCTTCAAAGGATAAATGGATATGTCTAAGAAACATACTTATTGTGCTGGGTCTTCACTGCTGATCATATCTCAGTAGGGAGAGAGTTCAAAAGGGACAGAGAGAATCCTAGGAGTAGAAAAGACTATGCTTTGACATGGGCATTTCCTTATTTCAACAAGTTGGATTTTTTTTATTTTTTATCCTGTTCTTCCTTTGGTAGACAGAGTGCCTGCAAAGTCAAAGAAAGATTATCCATACGCATGAAATTTGAATAGTGGCGTTTGAGGGGTGTGGCTGAATAATTAGGGTTTTTCATTAAGAATTGTTGTTTGTGAAGGAAGATAGCATCATATAATATGCACTAGTTGAAACAAGTCCATGTGACTGCTAATTATGTTCTTCTTTCCACCCACAAATCCCCAAATACATGCCTTCTTCTGCCCCCACCAATCTATAAAGTTTTTTTTTGTTACTTTTTGGTCAAATTTCAGACCACATAATTGCCTTGTTTGGAAATTGTTATCAGTCCTTTTGGTAGAAAACCTGTTTTCTGGCTACAATCAAAGCAAACCATTGGTTGATTGATGCTTCTTTTATTGTTTCCCTTAATTCTCACACATAATGATTTCATCAGAAAGTAATGGCTCAACTCTTTGGACCTTGTATTCATCTGAAAAGTGGCTTTGACCAAGAAGATCCATTGGTGCTCTATCCTCGTTCATCCCTTCCACATTGACTTTGCTTGACCTGGGTCCATCAGAGCACTAACTTTGGCGGCTTCCAGTTTCATTATGGGAGCTAGCTGAGTAAGGCCTAGCCCAACCCATCTGGAAGAAGTTGGAAATGCTGGACTCTGTCAACCCAATCCCTACCAAATCAGTGCTTCCTGTCCTGCCCCAGGAAACATGAGAATCTTTTGCTGGAACATCCTACACCTATTTTCATTTTTTCGATAATTGGGAACCTTCTATACTTAGTCAAGCGCCAGACCCAGTTGAGGAACATGGAGCAAAGAATGGGATTAAAAAACTAAAATTTAGCAAAACTTAAAAGGTATTTGATAAAATTAAAAATTAAATGTTGAATCTATTAAGTATTAAATTTTAAATGCTGAATAATTAAGTATTGAATATATTCCTAATACGTTATTTGGTATTTACTTGGATAATTAAGGTTTTTTTTGTTTTAACAATGGAGATAATAAAAATTATTTTTTAGTTGATTTGTTTAAGTAAAGTTATAAAAATATAAAAAGACGATAAAGTCGCATTTGAAAAAAAATTAAATCTTTCAACTCGAACATGCTAATAAAAAGATAATGAGTTAAAAATTTTAACTTATATGCTAAAGTAAATTTTGATTGAATTTAAATTTTTAATATAAGATTATTTAGGTTATCAAACAAACTTTTTATGTTAAGTACTGCAACTTAATTTTTTAAGCTATTTAAATATGCTATCAAACACTTCCTTAGTGGAATCAAGAAAGGGAAATGTTCAGACATTTTGATCAAAAATCAAGCTCCCCCATCATAGCATGGAATCATATTCAATTCCACTTGAGCACACACATTAGCACATTATCCTCTCCTGTGATCCTGTGACCAAAACAATTTCCATACGGCTAAACGTATGATTGTGCTCATCTTTAAAGATAAAGGGGAGGCAATAAATTCAGGCCAGATGAAACACATGTTATCACAAAAACCCATACAATTCTTGTATGGAAAGTCAAATGATATTTGGGAGAATGAGTTAATTAATCATGTTCGGCATGTTGCTTCGAGATGAATAAAGAACAGTAGATCTCCAATTACCTAGATTACAAAGAAAAGGGGGTCGAGTTCCCCAAGGGATTAATGAAAGAACATATGAACATTCACAACATGAAATTTTCTACTAACAAGAATGAAGTTCCATGTCTAGTCTACACAGCTAAATGAAGCAGCTTGTAATGTGAATAACTCCTGTGAGCGCCGCCTGCAATGCAAACAACTCCTACGAGCCCACCGCTGACGACAAAAAAAAATAGCCAACTGGTTATCAGAAGAAACCTTCAACTGAAAACCAAACCGCGGCACATATTGCCATCAGCAGAGTGAAAAACAGATTGGGATTGCCGTGGAGAATCGATGCTGCAGATTTGTTACTTAGATCCCTGAAGATGCAAACACAGTATTGGTAATTCCATAAGAGAGGGAAAGGGAGAGGGAGAGAGAGATTTTATGAAATGGTTTTGAATACATACTTCTGTCTGGAAGCAAGAGCCCCACAAAATAAAACATTATCAGGGGGAGGCATCTCTGTTTCACCATTTTCCTCAGGGTTAATGATTTTCATATATGTTTCTTGGCCAAGATACCATCTATCAAGATTTTCTACTCTCAGATTCCATATTCCAGAATTGTCAAGGGAAGCAAGGACTGCTGTCCATCCCCCAGGGTAAACCTAAACAAAAGAACAAAAAAAGAAAAAAAAAAAAAAAAAGAGGGAGACTCGATGAAAAACTATATAAACAGCAAATTCAAGATTAAAGGTATTGCCCAGAATTTAAAAAATAATGATCCTCTTAGCATGCTAATCAATTAAATCTGCTGCTTTTACAATGACATAGATAAGCAGATAGAAAATAATGAGAACAGCATGCAGGAAATCTCTACAACTAAAATAGTTCTGCCACAAAATAAAAACATAAGCATACCACATCCTTCTCAATGTATGGTAACAGATGATCCAGGTAGAAAAACCAACCTCTACTGTGCAGCGAGAAATAGCATCCCACTTATTGTACGAACCTCTGCTATTCTCTGACCAGATCCCCCAGTCCATCCTGAATTTGAAACAAGAAATTGTTATGATAATTCCTAGTTCTGACAGGTAACATATTAGGAAAAAAGGGGCACGTTCTTACCCAACAACAAAAAAGGAGTAACCATCCATGTGAAAGCTCTGCATTCTGGTATCATTGTTCTGCAATATGACTTCTATAAACCCCCTATATGTCGCATTAATGACAGAAGTGTCCCTCCGAAGAGGTCTGTTAAGCGGTTCAGTGGGAAAATCAAGCTTGTAAGATCCCTTCACTTGGTTGAGGTCAGCAAGCCGGATTGGTGTATCCGGATTGACAAATGATATCCCATTCAGAGTTGCACGCAGCTTCCCATCGATGGTAGAAGGTGGCAAGCTCCTTAAGATATATGTGTCAGTAACATTGATTGAACCGTAGTGAAAAGACCCTTGTGGATTTGGACGAGCCCCACTTGCAGTTGTATTTTGCCTAATGTATGTGAAAACAGCAATGTTAGTCTTAACTGAATAACTAAAACCATGACTTACCTAAACCTTAATGAAAAGAAGCAAAAGGAAATAAAACCAGCTGGCTCTTTATTCATATGCATCAACACATGAATGACACCTGGCATTACCAGCTATAATGTTGGCTGTCCAGAGGGCTAACAATTTTAATAAAGTTTTTCAATTATCATTTATAACATATTTGCCAACAAGTGAAATCCGAAAAATTGCTAAATTGATGGCCATTTTCTCCTCTTCACTAAATATATAGTTTTTTCCTCCCTTGCTTTAAAACATTATTAGGAAGATATCCATTCCTCTTTTCCATTGTAAAAACAAAAAAAGAAACCTGTATTTATAAACATAAAATGCAAGAATTTACATTGAAAGTTTTTAGTCAAAGATGTTTTTGCTTTTACATTTTTAAAACAAAATACGAAAAAAAAAAATTGGGCATGAAACATCCACCAAGAAAAACAGAATCGTGTTTAGATGTGACATATCTGAGACTGAATATGGATATATGTAATAGAAATGGCATCCTGAGTTAAAGAAATAACCTGATGGCCTTTGGCTGGTTCATGGCTGACCACTGGTTATAAATATCACTTGGTGCTTCAGGCAGAGGACCAGTTGCAGGTCCTTTTGAATTGGAATAGTGCAAAATGCCGACACCCGTGACTTTTTGCCAAAGTGATTCATTCACAAACCGAGCACTTGCTACAATGTAGTAATCACTAGTAGCATTCTGATCCATGGTAACCAAAAAGGAACAAGACTGCCCAACATGAATATCAAAACTAGTATAATTCTGTTGCACAGTATAATATCCCTCTGTTTCCACAAGAAGCAGATTGTGTCCCTGGATTCTAAAGTTCAAACTAGTAGAAGTCCCAACATTGTGCAGACGAAATCTGTAAGTCTTGCCTGCAAAACATAATGCATTTCCACTTAAAAATTTGACATATTTGCACAGTATGAACATATTACAAGCAGTTGAATCTATTCAACAAGTACATTAGTTAAACATCTCATTGTGGACATTTACAAAAAGGTCTGGACAATTCAGCTACTAAGAAAACCGATGAGCAACAGATAAGAAAGCAAACTGTTTCAAGTGCAATCAAAAGGCAACCAAAAAATATGGTTAAATGAGCCACTTCCCATGCCCAAAGAACATACCTGGATCAACGTTAATGGTTTCATAAGGTAAACCATCAGGAACAAGAGTTGTGTTGTATCTGTAAGGTCCTTTCCCATTAATTAAGACCCCATCAGGCATTCCAAGGTCTTTTCCAGAGTCAAGATCAGCTCTCAATGCCTGAAATTCAATGTAAAATGTCACGATTAGAGTTCAACCCTGAAAAACATCAAAGCTTGAAAGAAAAAAAAGTATAACCTCGTAACAAATACTAACCGTATGGTTTCGTGTATACCAGTCACCAATCAGAAGGATAAAATCACCATCCGGCTGAGCGAAAGGAATTTCAATAATTGGCCTGTTATTAATAACAAAGGGACCAAAGCCACCCGATGCTCTTTGAAGATTAAGAGACGGAAAGTAGAAAAAGCTCCCAATCTGATCTTTTACTTGAAACTTGTAAGTAAAGTCCCAGTTTGGATGAATTGGACAGTTTGTGCCCCGAACTCCATCCTCCCATGAATTACGTCGCATTTGGATCCCGGGCCTGTTAAAGGTCAGATATCCACCCAAATCTTCAGAAAATCCTTCTGCATATGATTTAAGAGGAAAGAATAGAAAAGGAGACGAAACCCATAAAAGATATATATATTTCATAGAAACCTACCATGTCATTAGGAAGTCTTCATCCAAGTCATTTTTAACATTTATAACAACGTTGTTGTTAGTAGTAGAATTAACAAGAGGACCAGGAAACTGTCCATTGACTGCTATAACCTGCAAACATATGTTCACAAATAAGTAAAATATACAGTAAATTACAGACCACAAACCATAGATTACTTGTGGGGAAAAAACAGAACTTTCCATCCCGAAATCACATTTCCACTCCATCTTAACAATTTGAATAACATGTAAAAAAGGATAAAAAAAAAAAAAACAATAACTTCAAATGAAAATCATTTACATAGAAGTATATAGCCAATACACAGAATTTGACTCTACAACCAAAGACGATGTTCAATAGTCGAAGCTCAATATTTTCTTCGAAAAAAACACGAAAATCATTAACACCAAGAGAGATGTGCAGAAATATGAGAAAAAACATTTTTTATACCCATTTAACAATTTACGAAAACACCAACAGCATATTATTATAGGATCAAAAACTAACAAAGAAAAATATATGGAGAAATCATCTATTACTAACAAGAATCATTGTCTTAATCTACTCCAGTGACAGTAAAACCTCAAACTACTTCAAAATACCAAGAAAGAAACAAAACTCATTAACACATGTCCTCAAACACCACTTTTACCAGATCCCACGAACCAATAAACAAACACAAAGAACCCAGAAAAACCCCCAAGAACAAAGCGTCAACAAAATGGGGGGAAAACAGTCTGCGGAAAGAATAAAGCGGAACCTTCTGAGGAACACCAAGAGGAGAGATAGTGATGTAAGATAGCTTGAAGTCATAAGAAACAGTTGGGTCTGCTGCAAGAGAGAAACTTGAAAACAGAGCAATGTGAATCAAAAGAAACAGAGAAGTTGAAGAGAAGTGAAACAAAGTCATGGAGAAGTTCGAATCTTTTTCAGTGTTTTGGATTTTTAAGAAAAAATGAACGAAAGGTTTTTAAGATTTTTGTGATATGATTTTTTACATGATCAAAAAATACAGGAACTAATTAAAGAAAGAAAGAGAGACTGCTCTGCTGTGGAGTAGAAGAAAGTTGAGGTTTCTATTTTTTCTGAGGAAGGGGAAGACAGCGGCCTTTTATTTTGGTTTTGCAAGAAGAGAAGCCCTAAAGAAATTAATAATGTCAAGTTTTTAGGAAATTTTTTGTTGGTTCAATGTGCGTTTTGGAAACAGGGTACTGGCCAGTCCGGTTTTCGTCCATGTTTTGTGAATTTTAGTAGGCGTATTTGATAATTTTTTTGGAAGAAAATTTAATTTCAAATTAAGAAAAAAGAAGAAAATTTAATTTGGTCGCTGATGTATTTATGGGCTAAAAGGACCTTTTTTTTTCGAATTTTAGTCTATTTGAAAGTATCTGAATTTTTAATTTATTTTTTTATTTTTTTGAATTTTAATTTTTTATATTTAGTCCATTCTTCACTATTTTATCATTTATCTTAAAAATACAAGTACATAAATATCTCCATAGTAGAAATTATTCAATACGATTTATCTAATCTCTCTAAAAAAAATTAGGATCATTCTGATTTTTTTCTCAATTTTCTACATTTTTAATGTTCAAAAAATAAAAAATTTACATATAATTTCTTACATTGAAAATTCTGGAATTTTTTCTAAAAAAATGGATTGGTCTTTTTCCAGCATGTCTACAAAATTTCAAATCAAAATATAAAAAATTAATTTTTTAAAAAAGAAGGGGTGCTAATTGAAAATAAGAAGATAAACTAATTTTTAAAAAAAAACATATCAATGAGATCAAAAGATAAACTAAAGTTCACGAAAATTTTTATCCTTTTAAATGTATTTATTTAATAATTTTACAAAAAGAAGGTCAAGTGGAAGGAGAGTTAGAGTACGGAAAAGATGTTTGCACTATAAATACATCAATTTTTAACTTTTTATCAATTAAGTATATATATATTTAGTAATCAATTTTTTCAAAATTATCAATCATGTACTTTTATCAATTTTAAAACTCCGAACTAAGCTAAGTTAAGTTTAAAAGTAAAAATTAAAGAAAAACACAAATGTGAATTTTTTCATCAATAAGGTTCATTACTTGTCTCCCTCTAACAAAAAAATGGCTAGATTATAATTTGATGTTCTTTGGGTAACTTATATATTATCAATTAACGAGAGAAATTGATTGGTCGTTTTGAAAAAATTAATATACTCAAACAAAAAATTTAAAGTCCATGTATTCAATCGAAACAAAGAGAACGATTATAATTTGATATTTTAGAGCTAACGGATACGTCATTAATTAACGAAAAAATTAAAAAAAGTATTTGGCATCAAAAAGCTTGTAGTCCTATGGTAGTGACTTCTTGTAACAAGAGATCACGAATTAAAATCCTAACGAGACTAGTTTTGCTAAGAGCCTTGGAGTGTGAGTGTATATATATATATATATATATATATATATATATATATATATATATATATATATATATATATATATATATATAAAGTACTTAGTTGATAATTTTGAAAAATTAGTGTTCTCAAAGAAAAATTAAAATTCATATACTCGATTAAGAAAAAAGTTAAAAATTAGTGTACTTATTGTTACGGGATGCGATGTCGCGGATGAAGAGCTTAAAAAAAAAAAAAAAGATTGTCATCATCTAATATTAAAGATCACTAGAAACCAAAATAACTAGTATGTTTATAGTTCTAAGATAAAGAGTTAGTTACGTGTAAGAAAGATAAAAATCATCATATCTCGTCTTGTATAAGATAAGTCGCATCGCATGCAAGTTTAAATATAATTTCTTGTTTTTGTTATGATTAAAGTCTATGTCTATTTAGGTATATTAGCTATTGAATCAAATGTCGGTTAATCTAGTGATTTGGGATTTGATCGAGTCAAAGACTTTATCCTCACTCTAAGGCATATAAATATTTAATTAAAAAAATATGATCGAATTATTAAGAATTCAATAAATTTTTTAAAAAATGATTTGAAATGATATGCACTCATGGGCTATGGTTTTGAAATAATGTGGACTCGAATGCCTCAATTAAAAAAAAATTGAATTTGAAAGTCATAATTTTATGGAAAAGCAATAAATGATTTTTAAAACTCGCATGAAATCAAAAGTCAAGGTTTTAAAAAATGACACAAACTCAAGAGTTGCAATTTCAAAAAAGAGTTCAAGCAAAGATTATATAAATTAAATCAAAGTGAAACCGGAGGCTACGGTTCTAAACCAACGCAAATTCAAAAGTCACAATTTCATAGAAAATTCAATCAAAAACAATTTAAAGTCACATGAAGCCATAAGCCAAGGTTTTAAACCGACATGGACTTAAAAGTCTTGATTTCAAAAAAATTCAAGCCAAAAAAAAAAAAATTAAGATTATGTGGAACTAGGGGTTAGGGTTTTAATCCGATGTAAACTCAAAAGTTATGATTTTACAAAAAAGTCAAATATTTAAGTTCTAGTATTCTCCATCGCTTTCATTCGCTATTATTGGCTAGAGAGGGTGTCTAGGATGTTTGTGTTCGAGTCCGGCAAGGTTTCAAGCTTGGGTCCTTCTAGATAATGGCGGTTTCCTATAGTGGAGTGGCTAACGGGTAGGTTTTATGGGTAAATAGGTTAAGTTTGCGAGTCACAAGTCTTGGTTTTGTGAGAGAGAGACCTTTCTTTCAAGAGTTTTTTCTTAAAAGAAGGTCATTCTAAATCTTATTTACTAAAACAAAGTAGTTTTAATCTTATTTATTAAAATAAGGTAGTTTTTGCCATGTAGATCGAATAATTACACGTGTCGGTTTTTTTTTAATCATAATTTCATTAATAATTTTATAAAATTTTAGAAACAAGTATCATTTACAATACTAATGATTACCGGATAAAATCAAATACTAATAGACCTAATCCCATTAGCTCATCAACAAGATTTAGAAACAATTGCTATAATAAACTTAAAATAAATAAATCTTTAAGAACCAGGTAATTCCATAGTAATCTTTCTCTATGAAAATTAAAATGACTAAACAATCAAAAAGATGGAGCTAAATGGTTAAGAAACCAAAATCCAAAACCCGTAAATTACAATACGCTTATTAATCAATGGGCCATTCAATCCAATGACGAGTTTTGTTCGAGAGCATGAAGCATTCCGCATGCTCTATAGATGTCATTGTCAATGTTGATGAGCCAACGACATGGCGATCCATTGTTACCGGACATGAGATACCAAGTCCGGGTCTTGTGGATTTTTAGTACTTTTTAACCCTCGGCAAGGAAAATCATACTTTGGCGAACAATAATTTTGTTTTGGGTTTTGTCAAGTTTTGAGATTTTGGACTTGAGTTTGTTAACTTCAGTTCTATTTTTCTTTTGATGATCTTGGTATTGAACCATTTCAATTTTTACATAAAGAAATTGTTAATGGAGTTATTGCTTCTTTAAAGTTTATTTATTTTAACTTTAATGGAACAATTGCTTTTAGATCTTGTGGATGAGTTGATGGGATTGGGTCTCGCTAGTATTTAATTTTATGTAATAATCATAACTAATAATACGGATGTATTAAAATTTTGTAAAATTATTAATGAATTTTGTTTTAAAAAAAAAGCTGACACGTATAAGTGATTAGATCCACATAGTAAAAACTACTTTGTTTTGATAAATAAGATTAAAACTATCTTATTTTAGTAAATAAGATTTAAAAGTATCCTCTTTTAAAAAAAAACTCTTTCTTTCAAATGGTCCTCTCCTCGTTTGACTTTTTTTTTACTTGGCTATTTATATCCTATATTAATTAGGCATGTTTTTATTATGGGTATCTTTACCCTTAAGTTGGATTAGGCTATCCCTAAAAATAGGATTAGACCTAATTAAATCATATTAGGATAGTCTAAAAAAATCTTTTATTCTTTTCTATCCTTTTCTTTTTTATTTGATTTTCTTTCTATCTTTAACCAATTTTCCTTTTCGTTTTTTTATGCATTGATCCTTTCTTTCTTTCTTTTCCCCTTATTTTTATTGCTCAATGATTTTCTTGAAATTCATGAAAATCATAAAACTCAAAAAAATGTTAAAATTTGAAAAATCAGAAAAATCAAATAAAATGTTTAATTTTTAGCATTTTTTATTTTTTTTAATTGTAAAAATAGAGAGGTCAAAATCGAGTGATAACACTTATAGTGCAATTATCCCGAGTATAAACTACATACAATGTAAAATGTAAAATATGGGTGTGAAAATTAGAGTTTATGAAAGGATATTGCTATTCTTGTATAATATTTTATTGATTAATTTGGTGTATAAGAGACTTCCTAACAAAAAACCAAAAAAGAAGAAGATATGTATCATTAGTTTTCTTCTTCTTCCTTATTCAATTGAAGAAAAAGTACATGGGAGTCTAAATTGTGAAATTTAAAGAAAATAAATGAGCTATGTTAGGGATATTTAATTTTTTTACATCGACTTGTTACTTATCTTTTCAAAATTTGAAACTCTCCTATATATATATATATATATATATATATATATTACTAAATGATGTTGGCATTTCTCATAGGAATTTTTTTTTCAAATTAATTATGAAATTTAAATCTTATTACATGAAATAATATAATTACAATTATTAAATGAAATAAATTGTGAATAACTAATCATAAGCTACAACATCGAGTAAATAAAAATGTTCCAATAAAAGTCTAAATATCTTTATCCTCATTCATAATGTAAAAATAATCATTATTTTGTTTAATATTTTAAATGAAATGTAATCATTTAATTCCAAAAATAATTTTACGTAGTAGAATTATTTACATCTCGTTGGTCATGTAGATACAATTTGAAGTCATTTTCGTAAAATGTATAATCTCCAAACTCATATGTACCTGAATGAATTGAATTATT